TGCACCCGACCCCTTTGGCCCCTCCTACGGGTGGTGAGTCCGTTGGAAGGGGGACCCACGTCTCCTCTTCGGGCTGAACCCGGCCGGGCTCCGTGGGTGAAAGCCCGGCCACCAGGCGCTCGCCATCGTGCCCCACCTCCWGGCCTGGCTCCAGAGGGGGGCCCCGGTGACCTGCGTCCGGGTGAGGGAACGCCAGATCCAATGTTTGTATCCATCATAAGGGGTCTTCGGGCTGCGCTTTGTCTGGTTCCTCACCTAGGACCTGTCTGCCATGGGTGACCCTACCAGGGGCATAAAGCCCCAGACAGCATAGCTCCTAGGATCATTGGGACACTCAAACACCTCCACCAYGATAAGGTAGCAGCCCAAGGAGAGGGTTTTGAATTCATATTTATTAAACCGGAGTTCAACTGCTGTGCATGCATTTGAACATGAAATATGTTAAGTTGTCACACCATGTGTTGTTTTATTAAATGTATAAATGTACACCAACAAAGTGGCAGTTTTATTACATTTAGGTAAGTGTGCAGTGCAATGTGGCCGTCTGGTAATGTCAACAAAAACCTGTGGCACCTTCCATCATTCAAATTGCTCATCCCTGTTTTATATCATTAATATAATTTATTTCTTTGTTTTGTCATCCTCATGTCAAACAAAAAGCAAAGTGCAGCTGTATTTTATGTCATACATACTGATTGGACAATATTTTTTATTAAGGTCTTTGTCATGCTTATTAGTTTATTTAGCTTCATGTTTATCTTGTGTTTCTAATATTATGTTATTATGAGTACAGGCAGTTTAAGTGTTTATCTAAGAAACGTTTTGTTTTATTATGGTCCTAGTGTCCTGGTTTGCAGCTGCTCATGTACCACCTGTATTTTATTTCCAATCAGCTCGCCTGTTGTCATTTGCTCATCATCCCTCCCAGCATACATACTCTTTGTTATCCAAACTTCATCACAAACTTGTTTTAGTTCCTGTGGCCTATTATCGGCTTGCTATTCTGCTTTTGGATGCCTTCCAGTTTAATAATTAAAGTTAGAATTTTCATTCACATCCACCTGCCTCCTGGTTTCCTGCAACTGGGTCCTGGCTCAATTTGCCATCCAGCAAACACAACAAAATAATAAAAAAGAAGTTCAATTTTATCATTTTGTGATAAAATTATCCAACCCTCCTGTTTAAATATTTTAAGTCCTACCTTAGCAGTGTTGATTTTCACATCTACGTATATCAGTGAGCCAAATCAGACCCCTTTGTCAGAACTGAATTACCATGAAATTCTGCACAGATACTCCTTCTGTCTAGAGCAGTGTTTCCCAACGTTGGGGTCGGGACCCAAAGTGGGGTCCCGAAACATCAAGGTGGGGTCCTGAAAAGATATTCTGAATTAATCACATTTTTGCCTTAKTTGTTACAAAGGAGTGATGTTGGTATATTTAAAATGGATAAATGTAGTATAAAAATATTGTTATTGTGCCCATGTTTTGTTGACTTGATACAAATGTTTATCATCCAAAAATAGTTGGGGGACAAGGTCTCTGCTACTGTTATTTTGTGGGCCAAAAGCTGAAAAATTTGGGAACCACTGCACTTTGGTTCCCAAATTTGGGCTTGGAACCCAATTATGGGTCATGAATCACCTTGGATAATCTACAGAAATCAATTTAAAGGGTAATAAAATAATTGCTGATGTAATATTTCCCTATAATTATTACAAAAACACAAAATAAGTATACAGTAAGTAAGTATTTATATTTGTGTACAAGCTGTTTAGATAGTCAAAAAGCCTGTGTTTTTAGAGTTATTAACAAAGTTTGTGTACTCAGACCAGTAATATTTGGGGTCACAAGTTTTGGCCATGGATATTTTGTGGGTCAGAAGATGGAAAGTTTGGGAACCACTGGTCTAGAGGATACTTATAATAATCTTCTAGCATTCTCAATGGCCTTCTGCAGAAAATGTTTAAATTTATTACCATGCATGACCTATATGTGAACAATGATATATTTAAAGACCTCTGTAATACCTTTGGAAATCCCTTTATTGGTCATGCATCTTCAGTGAACTCTTCATCAGTTTTTATTATTAGTATTTTATTAAACCAGAAATACTTTAACTAGAATGGGTATAAAAAAATATCCCATCTGTAACCACTATGCTGGAAATTGATTTTACATTTGCACTGAACTGGGTGTCCAGTCCTTTTTAACTCCACTCAGATTGGTCTCGTATTCTCCGTATAGACTGTTAAAGTCAAACAGTCATTCTTATACGTTCCCAACCCTCTGCAGGGAAGGTCAGACCTGGATGCTTTCAGCAGCAGATTTGTATTCATCACATCTCCATTCACACCAAATAAGGAAGCCACAGGCAGCTGGCAGCACAGTGCCATCTCTCTGCAGGTAATCTTCACACGAGCCCCAGCCTTTTACCCCAACATTTGAAGGTGTGTGTGTGTCGTTCTGAACCTGACCTGTCCAGCTTGATAAGTTTTTATTTATTTTTATTTTTCTCTGCAAATGGGAGCTTGTTTTCCTGTAGCCTGGGTGCAAGTTTCAGGCCCGTCAGGTGTTATCTTCCTCTCACTTTGAGTGTTTTATTGCAGCTTGCGGTTCAAATGAAAAACAAAATTGTAAATAATCACAATTGAGACAATCGGGATGTGGAGCGTTTTTACCTTGAGGCCCTTGAGGTGTGCAGCAATCGCGGGCACGACTTCGTAAACAGAGACAGAAGGAGGAGGTGGTGGGGAAGAAGACAGATGGAGTGGTGGAGGGAAGAAGGGAGGAAGTGAGGAAAAAGGGGGAGGTGCGCATTGGCTGTGGGAGATGCAAGTCAAGACTGTTTATTGTCTGCAGACTCCATACTGTAGGTGCAAGGACAATATATCCTTCATAGCAGCAAACACACAGATGACTGCCTGTTGAGCCAATGAAAGCACCAATTAATTCATCACCGTCTGCAGGAATCCATGCTCTGTGGATGTGTCTTGTTTACAGTTCTCTCATTTCAAATGAACTATACCCAAAACCAAGAAAAATAAATAAATTATTATGTAAATAATTCAAAACTTTTGTATTCCAACTGGGGGTTGGAATACAAATGAATGGGCCATTTGCCAATATAACAAAAGATTTCAGTAAAAATCATCCAAATTAATAAAACTTCATTATCTTTATTAAGTGCTTCAGAAAAAAATATTTCAAATGATACAAATCTTTCAGAAGTTACATTTTTTGCATGAAACAAACATATTTAAAAACAGATTTCAAGATTTTTATACATAATATATTCTACGTCTTTGCATTTTCACTGTGTAAGCAATTACGAGTAAAAAAATAATGAAAACATTTTTTTTAATTCAATCTTTGCACATTATCTCATTTTCCACTTTTCCTATTGAGGTTTTCTGCATCGTCAAMTCACTTTAAATTTGTCATTTTCTTCATGTACACCACATCTAGGAGATGTATTTCATCCGGCAAAATACACACTCTACCTCAAGTGTTTGGATGTTGTGTTATTTCCCACTAGGTTCTCAAGGACACCAGCTGGTGAGAGGATACAGCAAACAGTGGACGGTCTTAAACCTGTAGAAGGCAGAATAACATTGTAATTCAGAGACCACATTTGAGATAATAGTCTTTAAACCTTTGTTCTACTGAGGAAATACACAGAACCTGTGGGAGTTTTATTCTGGGTACATATGTGAAAGAAAGAGTCAAAGTGTATGCAGGATATTAAGTGTGTTAATATAAAAAGAAAAAATTGTATAGGTCTTCTGGACGGGTTCTTCTCTAATGAAACGTTTCGTCTCTCCTCCAAGAGACTTCTTCAGTCTGAGAGTTTCAGGCAAAATTCAGGCTTTTAAGCACTGCCTCCATGTGACTGATATGTTAATATAGTTTTTGTCACATTTGCTCTGCCAGTGAAATCAAACTGAACCACTGAGTCCTCAAAATGCTGAAGATTTTGTTTTTGAAGCAGAACAAGAAAGAGCCTAAATGGTTAAACAGATGGAGCAAAGTCATAAAGTTTACAAATTCAGACGAAAAGACAAATATGTGGAGCCAGAGAACAGCAAAAGTGATTCTCAGTCAAAACCAAAGGGTTTCAAAGATATTAAAGCTGCAAGTTCTTTTAAAGATTATTATGTTTATTTGCCCCCAGCAGGAAGAGAGGGAACGWACCACAAGCTTTATGTGTGGGTGCTAGACTAGCAGACAGTCGACCAACATATTTACAGTATTGATCTCAAGCTCTTCTCATTGGGAGAAGTGAAAATGAGAATGTGTGACTTTTTCACACGCTCTGTGTTTTTCTTAGAGAATAAATAGAGGACATGGTTACAAAGACGTCAAGAGAGGACAGCGTTTTAACAAGTTCAAGGTTTGCGACAACAGGAGACTATATTTATACTGATCTGATACTGATACTCTGTACAAATGTGTGTCTGGTAAAATTTAAAAAAGTAGTGTATTTCAAATCATTGCTTCATAAAGAATATAAGACACCAGAGTAATTTATTTATTAAGTTTAAACTCAGGTGTAGTGTCCTCATTTACAAGCTGAGCTAATGCAACAGAAAAAAAACACAGATCACACTGGGCCTCATGCAAGAACCATTCATATGAACAGACTTGCTGGTTATTAATGCTGTTGTATAACACTTCAATGTTAATATGAAGATATCAAACTACAAACCAACATAAATTATGCATTTATTGAAGTTAAATTTGTCTCAGTGTATAATGAGCTTTATTCAAACATAGATTATGTTATTTTTTTAATCAAATTTTATTTTGTTCATATTTATTCAGCACATCCTGCTATTTTCTCCAAAGTGCCTGACATATTTTGGAGACATTTTAAAATGCTTTCTTCAGATCTGACACCACTGGTGACGCCGGGGGAGACGGTACGGGCTGTGGCTCTTCTTTTGAATAAATTAAAATTATTTAACACAGTTGTTTATGCTTGAATTCAAAATATTTGACCATAGGAAAACCGGAGCAGGACTAGAGAGAGGAATATGATTTAAATTTTAATTTCTGTGGCTGTTTACGACCCACGGGAGACATGACATTAACAGCAGTTGTGAATTCATTCCTTGGCTTTAGCAGCTCCTTTAATTCCACAGCTGACACTTCTAAAAATGACAGATTTTCTTTTCTGGATCTCTGAGAGCAGGACTTCTATCTCTGAACTCGTAAAGTTCTTCTTTTTACTTTTCACTATCATTTTCATGAATGGCCACTTCCTGGTGTGTGGGGCAGGAAGTGTAGCCTTATATGATGCTTTTAGAGTTGGTAATTATGATAATGTCTTCTCCCTATGCATGAGCACTTGAATACGCATTCATCATGTTTACGCTGCTCATTTACTTTTGCTGAAGATAGAAGCGTTTGCTGAATCTGACGTGGCACGTTCGTCTTAACCCTTCATGCAAAATAAAAGGAAGAGAAATTTAGGAAAAGAAAACGAAAATATTTTTGTATGAGGCCCAATCATATGTAAATAACTATGTCAAAATTGTGTTTTAAACATAAAAAAGGAGTAAAATAATAAAAATCATCAAAATAACTTTACCAAGAACTACTATAAAAATTAAAAACTGGCATCTTAGTTTATGTTACATGTGGTTCCCAAAATTGGTGTCGTGACCCAACTGTGGGTCGTGAAACATCACGTTAGGGTCCTCGGATAATCTCCAGAAATCAAATTAAAATAAAATAAAATTGGTGATGGAATATTTTCCCTATAATTATTTCAAAAATACATACATACATAACAACCATAACATAATAAAAATGTTATTGCTGTAAAAGCTGTCCTTGTTTAATCAGGTTATTAACAAACTTTGTATTCACAAATCAGTAATATTTGGGGTCACAAGCAGCTGCCACAGTTATTTTGTGGGTCAGAAGGTGAAAAGTTTGGGAACCACTGATATATAGACTGAGTGACTGACTGAGCATGTGCCGCTGCACTTATGCATTACCCAGGCGGAAGAAAAAGTAGTTCCCACCAACTGCATACATTAGTTTACATACTTTCCACTATGATCATGTTAATGTTCATTATCTGAAATGATTGAAGTATCAAAGTATTGATATACTGATTTTAGAATCAATTTTAGAGCATCACTAACACATGCAGCACATAAGCTAAAAATGAGTGGAATCATCATACAGATGCTGCAAAMGGCTTTAGTAGATTTCAGAGACTAAACACTCAGATTTAAGCAGAATTATTGTTCATTTCTCCTCACATGAACAAAGGAAAACACAAACCTGGAGGGATCTTCTTCCTTAGAGAAGCTTCCTTTTACTTCAATGCTGTTCATCTTGTTCTCAAACATCCCATAGCTCAGTGTCACCTACAGCAAGCACGTGCACACAATGGTAAGAAACGTGTGCAGTTTGGAGGATATCTGCGTTSTCCTGTGTATAATAATACCTGCTGTGGTATGCTTCTTTGACTTATGAGTTGCAGATTTTCCAGGTGGGAATGGAATAAAACACAGTGAACCATAGAGATGCCCAGTCTTTTTTCCACTATGAAGCCCACTGTGCAGTCGTCTGGGAGGCGGATTGTTGCTGATGTTTGCTCGAAACGTGAACCACTGAAATGAATACACACATATAATTCATATACTTACTCAAATAATTTTTAGGGCTGTCAAAGACCTGTTAATGTTAGTGAATATGTTCTGAGAAGAAATTGTAGTCAAATGGAAAATGGTAAATGATCTGTACTTATATAGCACTTTCTATCCATCCAGGACACTCAAAGTGCATCACACTACAATCTGTGTTCTCATTTACCCATTCACATAGCACTCTATTAGGTCTCTACAAAGGTAACATGTACAACCATCTATGGAGACTAATCAGTGCCAATCACATTCATACACTGATTGGGACACACATCGGAGGCATTTGGGTGAAGTATTTTGCCCAAGGACACAACAACTGAGATGGCGGGATGGGGGATCAAACTGGTGACCTTCCGGTTCCAGGACGACTCCTCTAACCACTCTGCCACAGCCACCCCAGTCAAAAAAAGCTTTAAAATGGTACAATTTTTATTCTACAGAGAGGTTAAATTTGCATTGTTGGGTTCTGCATCTTCAGCTCTGAGTCCCAGGGGGAGGAGCTAAACCTACTGTGCCTGAATGCATACAGCTATACAGTGGTTTGCAAAAGTATTCATACCCCTTGAACTTTTCCATATTTTGTCACATTACAACCACAAACATAAATATATTTCACTGG